GAATATTAAGATGGATGGATGTTTGTTTGAAGGTATCTCAAGAACGGCGGGACAGATCGCGATGTAATTTGGCAAGCATATAGAACATAGCCTGGAAGAACACATAGGTTACTAATAATGTTTTATTAATTACCAAGTCGCGGGCGACAGCTAGTATCGGAATATTTTAAAATATAAAATAATTATTATTTCATTCAACATATTAATTTAATGCATATCAAATAGTGACCTCGAATAAGATGCGGCTTTGAAATTTATGCCACTGGGTTACTCGTAGACGACGCTAAGTGATTTGCCCTTCAACTATAAGACGATATTGTCTACATATTATCCACATGCCGCAATGCATACCAATGCACATTCAACTAAATATGTTGTTCATAACATAATAGTTTAACATTTAACGCGTTAATCAAATAACTTAACTAACCATTTTTAATTTCAAAAATATCGATACAACAACAATTATTATTTTGAAAATCATTTAAAAATCTTGCTTTGGAATTACGTAAAAGCATATAAATAAATTCTAATTACAAGCAACAATTGCTGGAATTAATGCAGCGCGGAAACCATTAAGCCTCTTTCCGAGGCATTCGCTTATGAGACAATGCATTTATTATCTACTTTAGCCTTGAAACGAGAAACTGAAAAATATGAATTCTTATTTTCATTTGTTTCTTACTTATAAATGTCAGCGCAACTGGAAGCGAATAATTTCTTAGTTCTATTTTATATTTTCTATACGCTTTTCGATTATACTAGGTTTATAAGCGACTAGAAAAAGCCCGACTGACTGTCTAATTTAAATTTTACTATCCATCTGTTTAGGTTTAAAAATATGTAGATATGAAGATTATCTATCGATTATAAAAAATTGCAGGAAATTGGTTGGATATACGCTAGTAAAAAATAAAAATGTGTTGATAAAATTACGTCTACTGATTTATAACGCGATAAATGAAAAATTTAAAAAGGAAATTTATGGCGAGAAAGTGAGTGACACTATCCGCCGGCGCCGACCTAGACAAGTTTTACCATATTAATGAAATACTGAGGAAGGGCAGTATTAAGAGCACGCGAAAATAACGTGCATGCATGCATAGCATGTGCATGTATGAAAGGAGCGAGAGACCAGTCAGCCCATTGGTTGAAATTCGACCATAACTCATTTTTTATTTTAGATTAAGAATAGCTTTATATACTTCATCTCCACATTTACTTTAAATGTCAAAAATATTAATCCATTCTTAGGAATTTCCGTTAAAAAGGTTACATAAATCGCTTCGCCTGTTAATGTTAAGATGACAATGGACATTTCAAAATTATTAATGGAATAATGGAATAAATGATTCCAAAAAATTGTAGTTAAAAAAATACTGAGTTAACAACTGATCATTGGAAATAGTCAATAAAATGTGACAACCGATTGCAGTCCACTCGAATGTAAAACGGCCATTTACCGGTTTCACAGAAGTGAATTTCCGGCGGCGAGACTATTCACGTAACATTTCCTCTCGTATGTCAATAAGTGCTTCAAAATACAACTCTGTAAACGGGATAAGCAAACGGGTCGGGCCACGAGAAATACTCGTTTGTAAATGTGTTCTTATTACCTGGCCCATTTAGCTCTCCGCGTTCAGACCAAGGAACCGGGTCACACAGACGACACGCCGGTTAACAAAGATCCTGCTTTTTGTCACTGCGGTTAATCGTAACTATATTTTTTAATGTTGTACTTGTACTGGGTAGATGCAAACAAGTAAAAGTAGACGAACGATATTGTTTTTCAATCGCAAGAGTTTAAAGATTTACCCATAGCTTTTCGGCATTTAAGGTAAACAGAAAATAATACAAAAGATAGTGTTATGGGTTTGTATTGTATTTCTATTTCATTGTTTAATAGTACAATGAAATAAAATAATAATTGCAACAGAAAAATGTGGTTCATTGTAGGACATTATTTAGTTGTTTAATTTTTTTTAACACCACAACAGGAATATTTAACGAATTAAATTTACAAAACAATGACTTATAAGAACTCGGATTATATAAAAACATTTTTTACATTTTAGCATTGATTACAGTCGCGTAAATTCGGTAACATTTTTAAATTAATATTGAATTACCCAATACTATTTTAAAAAAGTTCTTTTTATACTATCAAATGTCTTTTTTAAATTGTTTAAAATATTAATATGTTAAGATATAAACAAGTAATTATTTAATGTTTTCCCCAAGTTTTTAAATCTCAGGTTTTTATTTAAGCTTTTCCTTTAACACAACATTTCTCATTTTGCTTCGCTCAAAAACATCATAGGTTGCAATTGTGGAATACCTTTCAACGCAAATTAAACCGGGATTTTTGTCCTAGATACAAGACACGGCGAATTGGAGCGAACTAGCGACGTATTCGCTTAATGTCATAAACTTTGTCTATACAATTTTTTTCACAATACTTCCTCGTTATAGTTTACTGAAAATTGTGACTATTAGAGAAGAAAAGATTTGATCGCCATTTTTCTCAAAATATCTATGGAAAAGTTTTTTTCTATCAATCGTTTACGAGATACACGAAATTCTTCATTGTATAGTAAGATCCATTCCATTGTACTAACTTATTTGAGATTTTCATTAGATTAAATATATATATATATAAATTTTTAGCAAAATATTTTTTAACAATTATGTTATCAGACAGATGTATAGGTAATGTTTAAAGGCAATAATCAAATTTTCCATTGAATCCAGGGACCGCAATTTTAAACCCAATTGCGATTCCTAAAAAATATATACGAAACTGTTTTCAGAATGGACCTTCCATTCTGAAAACAGTTTCGTTTATTTTTATACTAGCTGTCGCTCGCGACTCTTACTCGCGAGAGAAACTTAATTAGTACCTGTGTCCTTCCATAATATGTTCTGCTGGGAAAGTTCAGTAATAGTAAACCTTCAAACAAACATCCGTCCATGCATCCATCCAAACGTTGACATTTATAATATTAGTAAGATTAATTGTTGAATACGAATTATTTGAAAAAAATTACTATGGAAGATCAAAAGCTTAAGAGATGAACCCCGACCGTTATATGCATCGCATCATTCAATCATTGTTCAATGAAAATAAAGGAAATAAAAACTGGCAAAGTGCATTTCGGAATCACGCACCGAGTGTTCCGTACCTACCTTTAGATATATAAGTAAAATATACTATATTATAAGTTATGGTCAAAATTTAAGGTTTTCGTAATTTTTCCTTTATGTGTGCTAAAAGTTGCTTTGAACCAAATTTCATGATTCTGAGTATCCTGTAGATTTTGATTCCATTACGAGTGTCGGCTTAGAAGATTTTCTCACACCTCCGAGGATATAAATTCCAGCTTGATAATTCCACCCGTTTCTCAGAAAATGGCTGTGCACGGAACCACAAAAATGAGATGGAACCCATTTATGAGAAACTCGCTCGACAAAGCGAAATTACTTTGCAGCATGCCGCGACTGCAAACTCAATTTAAATGTTAAGAAAGCGCGGTGACACTTGCTTTCAATTTATGTAAACTTGTGCATTGCACCTCAAACTACTTAACAAAAATACTATTCAAAAGTGATGGTTTGCCGACTGTAATATCATACTGTGGCCTAAACCTAAAAGACCATTTTGACTAGTGAGCTGTCGTTCGGTTCGAATTCTACCCCGAAGTATATTTTGCCTTAAGTATTTTTAGAGCGTCGGTGGCTCAGAGCAATTGACTTATAATCTGCAGGTTCTGGATGCGAATCTCGCCGTTTACCAATATGTTTTTTGATTTACATATGTCGATCTATCCGTCGTTGTTACGGTGAAGGAAAACATCGTGATGCAACCTCCACATATCTTCTAATAAATTCAAAGATATGTGCGAAGTTAACCAACCCGCACTGGGTCCGCATGGTTGACTGTGGCCTAGTCACGCCGTAATAGGGCAGGCTCCGTGCCCCTCTGTGGGAACGTTCAGTGAGCTGGTGATGATGATGATGATGAAGTATTTTTTACATTATTGGTAGTCAATCATTTTTATAGATCTTATGATGCCTAACTAGGTTAAACTTTGTAGTATTTTGGTTTTTACAAAATTTAATTACCAACATTTTTGGCAGCTCGCTTAACTGTGGAGCACATTGACAGTCTCAACCAATACCAACGAAATTTTTAGTCGTTTGATAGATATTGTCATCCAACTTAGTATTAATTTGGAAAGTATAATCGAGTCTGCCTTTCAACCTTGACTGAGCAAGTGAACATCTTGCCACTTGTTCAAATCTCTATATATTTCTCATCTTGTATATAAATATGCAGTCGGTTTCACGATCAGGATGTTATTAACAGTTCTTTTCGTTTTCTCTTACTGTCGCTCAAAGTTTGTCTGCATGCTTTAAGTCATCTGAAATGTAAACTGGGTATTTAATGTAGGCCATTCTTTTACTATTAATTTTTAGGTGTTCTCTGAAAACGTAGAAAACAAGCCTCAAGTGGTCTCAATGTGCATCTTCATGAGGTCGCTATAGAACCTACAACGACCTCAACTGACGCGTGTAAATTTGTGACAAGTTACCATCTTCAGCGTAGCGTATTACTGATATTATCGCTTCAGCCTCCTTTAATTGCATTACGTTTATTACATCGATTATGACAACATTAAGCATTTTGGCTGAGGCACGCGAAGCATTGACATTGGCGCATTGGATATGAACAGTCGCAGTGCTTTTCCAACACAAGTCTTATTGTATCAATAATTTTATTATAATTTTAACCCTTTAGTATAAAATAAATAACGTTTAATTTTCTTTAGCCGCTTGCAAGATGTTGGTGACATCCAGAGCATAACTAGAATTGTGGCGGCAGGACTATAATGCCGTGACAGTGATAAGGGACCTAGTAGTGGAACGAGATATATGATACAACCACTGGACAAGGTCGAGTGGACATTCGCCCTTGGCAAGGACGTTAATGTATGACTCACCGAGTGGCTGGTGTAGAGCTGCGTGTGCGTCGCAGTCGGCACAGATCGCAGAGCGCAACATGCGTTCCCGCTGCAGCCGACGCAGCAGCTGCAGGTGTTGCGGCGTAAACACCGTGCCAGAGCGTTCGCCCACCAGCAGTACATCACCAGCCTCCCACCAGGCCTGCTCCCGCAGCGTCCCGTCGCGATTAAACAGCCCCATGTCTTTGTAACCCTCGGGCGGGCTGAGGGCCCCTGGCTCCTGCTCCTGGTATCGCTCGCATGCACCACATCCCGAGCATTCCTCGTTTTCATCCTCATCAGAATATCCGCACTCATCTCGGACTACAATAATATAATCAGCTTCAAAAAATTCGTTTGCACTCTCATCAAAAACAACCCTGTTTTTTTTGGGTTTGTTTCCTTTTTTGAGTGAAGACTTTAAGTTTTCGTGATCCTTGTTATGGCGCGTATCACGAGCGGCGCGGTCGCCGCGCATCGTCGCGTCTTGTCACGGCGCGGGCGAACGCCAGAGTGCCGGAGTGCCGGAGTGCCGGAGAACGGCGAACAATCACGGGGGCTACCGAAGGCGGGCGGTTCGTCGTCGACGACTGCAGCGCCGCGACCGCCCTATCGATCGCTCCACCGTCGAACCGCGCCACGATGCCCGACGGCGTGACGTGACGCCGCCACGCCGCCACGCCACCAGGCCGCAAACGACACAACACCGACACCATGCTACACTCGCTAATAAACATCTCGCATTCCACATGCTTCCAGTTAGACACATTGGCAGTATTGGGCACAAGTGAAAAAAATCGGGCTATGCTTAAAGTTAAGTTAAAGGCGAATACATTCGATCGACAAAGTGGAGTCACCAGTTTGCGGACGTCGGTGATTTGGTGACCATGTTGATAATAGCGTGTGACATCATCTCCCTGGCCTTATACCACTCAAGTGGGGTCGGCGGCACAAGTTTTATAAATCTTACTGTGTTGGCTTAATTTTCACAGTAGGCTAACGTGTGATCATTGCGTGTGTAATAAAGTTTTGTGAAACTTTTTACGCTTGATGTAAAGAATTTTATCTTTACATTTTATACCATGGACGTCAACAAAATACCGATGCCTAAAATCCCTATAGATCCTCAAAACTACTTGTCTTTATTTCAGTAATAAATTATACTAAGTGTTGATAAGCGTTCCGTTAGGAATTAAAGGAAAAGTGGGTGGTATGGGCGGACGCCCACGGTCTCGCGCTCCATGGAGCCTCGCGCCTTGTAGTTACACCCATAAATATATCATGCCAAAAATTTAAGTTTCTAAAACACCAAAATCTATCAATCATCCGCCTTGGATTAAGATTTGTATAGAAAATCACAATCTCCAAAATGAACATTATACTTGAAACAATTTTTTTATATACTATACTGACCCTAAACATTAAATGACGCTTACTACAATACATTAGTGAAAACTATATCCGAATCGGTTAAGCCGTTTTTTAGATTAACGCCCACAAACACACAGACAAATTGACAAATTTTTAACAATCTTTGTTTAAAGTACGCCAGTATCAATAAAAGTCACTTTTTACATTTTCAAGTATTTTAATTTTTAATATAAGTAATAATGAATGGCATCAAAAACTCCGTCCACAATTACCTGCATACAAATATAATCAGCAGCATCTAACAGCAATCAACCTGCATCCACTTGCAATCACCCAAAACCAACTGTAACCAACGATAACCACCTGCTATCACCTACAACCACCTCAATGCACCTACAAGCACTTGCAACCACCTGCCCACATACAACTGCGATATTATAACCCATATTTTATGCGAGACTGTTCTCTATATTTGCGTCAAATTTCAGTAAGATGTGATAAACCGTAGTGGAGCTATCGCTTAAATATATAGAAATGTATGTCCCACGTGAACCTGATATTTTTCGGGATTTAAAAATATCCCATGTGCAATTTAAGACTATGTTCTATGTTTGTTCCAAATTTCAATAAGAAATATTGAAGTATAACGCACAACACTTATCAAGTAAATATGTAAAAGTAAATATATCCCACGGGTATTCCCGTACACGTTTCCGGAATTCATAAGGTAGGTCACGTTTTCTGTCAGACTGCGTTCTGCATTTACACCAAATTTCATCAAAATCCGTTTCGCCGTTTTGGAGATACCTAATAGCAAACAACCCATTAAGAATGTTAAAATATACAGGCTACTAAAGTCCTCTATTATTAATCATAACTATTATTTAATTAAAGAGCACCCAGAGTATGTATATACGTTGCACAATTTTTTTATATTTAATTTTTTAAAAACGTATTGTAAATACGTAATATAGTGCATACACTAGTAATTATTTTCTTTAAAAAAAATATTTTTGATTTCGTATCGTTCCGTGTTTTTAGATTAACTTAAATAAGAACCAAATATTTAAAAAAGTGCGCCCATACCATTAAGATAGAACATACGCCTTTCTTTTATTTTACATGTATAATATCAACGAATTTATATAAATAGGAGGCAACAATTTCTTTCAATTTAAATATATTTTGTATGAAAAATTACGGAAGGAAGTCTTTCTAAGCTTGAGTAAAATACACTTTAAGCAAAATAAAGTTTTATTAACTAGTACGAATTACATAATAAATAAGTTAACAAATAACGTGCAACAAGTGACAGATGTTTAATAATTTTATAGTTAGAAAAGGGTATTTTTATAGTAGCCACCCGAAAATAAGAGTCAGGCTCAAAGGCCTTGACGCCACGCGATAGTCTTTACAAAATCAATAAATTAAACCATAAACAAGCGAAAGAGGAGCGGCAGCCCAGTGGCTAGGTCGCTTCTTGATAGTGACAGTAATAGCTTCGTTTAGAAACAAGCATAGTTCGACTTTCCTTCAGCGTTACCGATTCCTACCGACACTACCAAAATGGCGGAAATCAAATTGGCACAAAATGCCACAGATTAAAGCCTGCCTTGACTGTGGATGTCATTGTAAATGACGGCAGAGTTGGACGAAGCTAGTAGGAGGTAACTTTTAAATAAGAATATTCTAGCCAGAAGCAAGTAAAAGGTGCAAGTACGCAGCAGGAATAAGTTAAGGTAAGAAATAATTTATTATCCCTGCAATTATTTTTATCTTAACAAAAAGTCTCTGGTTTAATTATATGTAAACGAAAAAGGTAGATATTGCATTTTCTTTCAAAATATAATAAATGTATGATGCTAATTTGCGATTCTATGTGTAAGGACTTTAATCAATATTTCCAACTCTAATTCTATGGTTTTATAGTTAAAAATATCTATACAGTTAAAAGTATATCAATAATTCTCTTTACATGTGAACTGTTAAGCCAAATGAATCAATAGAGGCTCTATAAAAATTTACACAAAATGGAAGGCGTAATGGAGCGTTTCAGCAACTATGAGTATCTGCATAGGTCAAGACAGATTGGAGTTTGGTCACCACAGATCATATCAAATGTGGTTTTGCAAATATTACAAAAACTAAGACCAATAAATACAGTGTAAGTATTATTCATACCTACAATTGCGGTAATTTTCCTTTGTTGAACCAACCAAGATTATTTCCAAGTTGCATAATATAATTGAATGTGTATAAAATAGATTGTTTAAATTTCTTATATTTTTGTCTTTATCAAATAACCACACCTCAATAGCAAAGTGGTTGCAAATGTATTGGCTGGAGATTAAGGAAATGATTCACTCTCTTCTTAAAAATCCTAAACTGTAAATGTAATAGTGTGCCTGTCCTCAACACTAAAATAGTGAAATAACTGCTGCCCATAGACATTTGCAAAAAGATGAAAGGTTGCAAAATGGATTGAAATATGCCGCCATTGTAGTCATTGATAACTCAACCAAAATTGATGACCTGCAAATCAGCTTATGAGCTTACCTATGGTTAACTGGTTCATAGATGATCTTGATTAGAACCCGCAAAGAGTTTTTGAGTCATTAATTACTATCTGGCTCGCATAAAGTACATCAAATTAAGGCATGGCCGCCAAAGTAATAGTTTCTTAATAGTTCAATCCTAATTGAGCTGAACTTTTGAGTGGATCAGAACTTATCTCTGCGTGTCTACACCATTGGCCTTATTTTTACCAGTTGTGGTTCTCTTGTAATATTTCACTAACCAGTCAATTTTCTCGGTCTTAACTTAAGTGAGTGGTGTGATTTTTCTTTCCGTGAATTGAAATGAAAAAATTAAGTATCAAATACCAGTTCTCTGCCCATAGGGGAAAAATAACAAAATTATTTTAGTTTTAATGGTTTTTTATATCTATAAATGATTATGACTAAAAACAATAATATAAAGATGATACAGTACAGAATACATTACTTACAATATACCTACCTGACGTTAACCGATTAGCTATCAAAGAAAATTAAAAAGCTATATAATTTTTTAAATATGACTATTATACTATAAAATACTTACATTTTTATTACTTTACATCTTTAGCCGGTACGGATATTTGAAGCCGATCTTTTATTTATGTAAAAAATGTGTCTCTTTGTTTGTAGGAGACATGAATTGGATGTAATGGTGAAATTCATTTCCCACATTTCTTTGGTTGAAGCCAATTGGCTGTCAATAGTCAGCAGTGTAATGAGAATCATGCCTAATGATATTTACACAATGAAAGCGATCGTAATAATTATGCGCGCTTTGCCAAGCCCACAACTGACCACACTCAGTACGGTATGATATTGTCACAGCTATAAACATATTATGGTTTTTTGCTTGAACAAAAGATTAAAATGAAATGGTTTCAGCTGCTGCATGACAGATTCCGTGTGACCTGTGCCCGCGCTGTGGCAGCCGACTTCGTCATTAGAGTTGAGATGAACATCTGCATTGTGCTCAACTGCTTAGCTGAAAAGCTAGCAGGAAATGGCAGCACACAAATATTCACTTATGATGTCTGCGGCTACTTATGCCACATTTTTGTAAGTACTAACTTATGTACACTTTTTTTTATGAACAAGCTTAATAATTGGCTTTCATACCATTATGCCTAATTTATTTACAAAGAATAAAATGTCAAATACAAACTTTGACATCTTTTAAAAAGAATCAAATACAACCTTTGGGTTTAAACAATGTCTACCTCTAGAAAGCTTTAAATATGTCCATTAATTATCACTTTGAATAGTTAATGTAGCATATCGCTATTGCTCTAATAGATACTGATCCTTTGCAATACTGTGATGAAGCAGAAGACAAAATTTTTATTACTAAGTGTGATTGATGCCGGATGTTAAATTTATTCTTATCATCCCACTGTTCTTAGCCCTTATGTTCATTTTGTATATTACATACAACTTTATAAAAATATACGATCACTGTAAAATAATTTTTAACTTTGTTTTTTGCTTTACTTCAAAAAAGAAATCTTGCCACAATAAGGGTTAAACTAAGAACATGTGGGAAGATATACTAGAAATGAAAAAGGTAGTGTACTTTTTCGGTTTCTCTCGTCGAGTTAATTAACGTAAGCAACACAAACTACTAAAATATTAAAGATAATCATGACAATCAATTTCCTTTATAGTTGAATACTAAAGGTCATAATGACCAGGAGTTGCAAATGAGAGCTTTGCTTGCACTTGAAAAATTCTCCATCATGGCAGATAACAAGATGCTGATTGTGAATGCACTTTCACTACAAGGAAAAAGTTACTTATCTGATTTGGAGATTTACTTAAGACACAATGCTGGGCAATATGCTATTCGCCGCGAATTTCTGTTTTGCGTCAGATGGGCGCTGGATAACATTTGTAAGAGATAATCATACTTTTTATATTAATTAATTTTTAGTTTGCATGTAAGCAAGAGTAGATGTGTAATCTACTTCGAGATAACTTAAAAACTACTCCCCTAGATCAAGATCTTGGCTAGCCAAGATTTGGCGACGTCCTTGCATGTATATACAGTCAGCATCTTCCAGCGACACAATGTTTATTACTTTTTAATTAGGTATACTTCCAATGGACGATATTTAATGATAAATGAGGCCAGCTTTTTATTTATATCTGTTATAACCATGACCTAACTTAACTTATGGCAAGAGATGGTTCTCTGCATCAAATGTCACCGCTGCACAGCAGAGAGCTAAACCGTTTACCATATAATGTATTCTAGACATTATTCAAAGCTTCAATTATAAGATAATACATATATATACATACATACACACATATATCATACATATTTATAAGATGTTTTACTTACAGTTCTGAAACCGGGCAGACAATTATCCTTCCGTACTGTAAACTTATCGCCAATAAATGGTCTACTTAAAAACGATAGTGGAAATATTTTTATCAAGTATTCGCCGGATCTCGCGGAAATTAGAAATGATACCATATGGTCTCAAACACTGCACGGAACATGTGAGGTGGATAAGAATATATGGTTCTATGAGGTCACCCTGGTGACCAATGGTGCCATAACAGTTGGCTGGGCAACTACCGGCGCTGACAAGGTAACTATGACTTTATTTTCTTAAATACTAGCTGAATCCAGGATATGTAATAAGCAAGTATTAAAAAAAAATCAGTGAAGCGGATTAATCATTTTATGGGCCAGTGGTTGACAAACATACAGAAATTTATATGTATATACAAAAATCATCTGGAACTAGGTTCATTGTCTGAGTGCATCGGACAACCTCCATAAGTTAGAAATGGTATGGAAAAAACATCTATCAACAAAAAATATATCGGTCCCTTGGACTCGTACTTATTTAGGTTCCACTGGATATATATGGGCATAAATGCGTCTAGTGTTATTGAATTAATGTTGTAGTTTTCACACAAAACATCCATTTTACAATAGAAGCAAAATGCATACATGCAAGCGTGGGAGTGGGGTACTTGACCTAGTTATTGTACTCTATAAAAATTATTGTTGTTTTAGTACCAATTTTTCTTTACGTTTGCGTGAGTTCATTGAGAATATTATGTATTACGATATAATAACTATCTCGTTTCTGAATCGATATCTCTCTGGTATATTACAGAATAGGCCAGTGGGATGGGATGAACTTTCGGTGGGCTATGACGGCAGGAGGAGAGTACTATGGCATTGTGGTGCCGCATATTCGATCCCTATGGGATCGTGGAGGCCGGGTGACGTGATAGGTTGCCTTCTGAACATCACTAAGAGGAGGGTCATTTTCTATATGAATGGGAGGGAAACCTCTGTTTCTAGCCATGATTTCTTTACTGACAACAAGTAAGTCTAATTATGAATGAACTTTATAACATACTTCTATATATTTGATTTATCTATATTAAATAAAGATGTTTCGATAACAGCAAAAACATTACCATGGAATATAAAATAACATTTTCTTTTACTGTATAGAGGTGTAAGGAAGTTTTATTTTCAAACTATGCTATGTACGCGTTGGTTTCAGGAATTCGAGGACATTCTTCCCGGCCATTACAATGTCGGCGTTCCAACAGTGCCGTGTAAACTTGGGACGGGAGCAATTCCGCTGCCCACCGGAGGCTGTTTACTACTCCACGCCTAGCACTGTCGGTCACCTGACGCCTCAGCAGAGGATGGTAATATGCGTATTGATTGAGGTGGTGTGAGGTGTACTGTGTATATTAACACGAGGCGATGCGACAGATCTACGGGATGCCGCGGCACGCGATGCAGCAGCAGCAGGCGACGTACAACGCGAGCGAGGACGCGTGCGACATCTGCTGCGACCTCGTCGCTGACGTCACGCTGCACCCCTGCGGTCATCGGTGAGTCCTCCCCACCATTCTTTTACCTTCACCGCTTCACCTTCACCACTTCACCTTCACCACTTCACCTTCACCACTTCATTTACAATCATATTTTTACAGAAGAACTCTCTAAATATGACGTGTATTTTTATTTGAGACTTATTTAACACGTTCATTGCCACCGATTCGGTGACTAGCCTGCGAATACCGTAATGTTGTGAGTAAAAATCTTAGTAGCATTAGTAGTGTAAACACAATGAAATTATTAAATAATTATAAGGCAACTTTACATGTTTGTATATTGGAATTGCAATATTATTGCACTGGATTATGACAGCAGTAATTGAAATATGACACATAGCAATAATTATGTGATTTAATAATATTTTTTTGTTTTTTTTTCAGTACACTTTGTTTTGCATGCTCGATGAAAATCGTTTCGTGCCCCGTGTGCAGAGCTATCATCAAGGAAAGACGTTAAATTGATTTTAATTATTTAATCAATCAATTTAATCTTTTAATGCAAGTTTACTACATACATTACATATATTTACAGTTCCATACATTTAGAATTGACATAAGTCAAAACTATGTAGTTACTATTATAGAATGCATTTATGCAACATAGCGATATAATACAGCCATAGAGGCCTAATCTTAATTTTCCTCGTAAGAAAAGGATGGGAAGGGGAATTGTTTTGGCAGAAGGGATAATATTCTCTTTCTGTGTGTCCCCAACCCTATTGATTAAATTTAGGCAACCCATCTCCAGGTGCCAATTTCTAAGGGCAGCGGTCATTTTGCTGTCAGTAAATCAAGGTGGCTGCTTGCTCTTTTGCCAACTAGTAATGTAGAAATACACATTTATATATGTATCTTGATATCTTTAACTATACATATGGGTTATGAGTTCATTTTTTTCACGATTATCAGAATGTTAATTTTGAATATACATGATCTTAACCAGAGTGTGATAGGTTGGGTTATAACTGAAGAACAGATTTGTGAAAAGTGCCATACAATAAATTTCTTGTTATATTTGCACTGATGAGACTAAAGACATTTTTTTATTTATATTTAAAATCTTAAGGATACCAAAAATTCCTTTATTTTCTATCTCAATGTAAGACTGAATGGTTATTATTATTTCGACCTATTTTTCAATTTTAATTGATTTAAAATCTTCAAAATATATTGATAAGTACATTTTACCATTAATTAGACTATGTATTTGAAACTGATATTATTTATTTGATTATTTATTGTAAAAAGTATTACAATAAATTATTAAATAAATACATTACTATATTGATATGATTAAATCTTAAGAAATTGTATTAGTTTTGATTGATACTTCAATTTAAATATATGAAACAAGTCATCAATGTATTTAGAAATATCGTAGAAATATAGTAGTGTTGTCGACTCAGGAACTAAGCACTTGATATGTAATCCGCAGATCCTGGGTTCGAATTTTATGTACTAATATGTTTTTCCATTTTAAATTAGCATGATATGTAATGTAATCCTCTTATGGTGTGCAAGTGATGCAAACTGCACATATCTTAGAATAAATTCAAAGATATGTGTTAAGTCAACCAAATGTTATTGGGCTAGCATGGTTGACTATTGTCTAGTCAAACCTAACTTAGGATAAGCTCCGAGCCCCTCAGTGGGAATAGATAGTAAGCTAATGATGACATTAATATTATCTGTTTATTATAAGAAAAATCACTAATTTATTATTTGGCTTTAATATTTTTTATGAAATTATTTTGCTGGTTATGTTTTTGAATTTATAAAATGTTTTTATTCATTAAAGTAGTTATAAAAATATATGGCTTTTTTATTTCTGATTCTTGAATAATTATTAATAGATTTAACTATATCTATAACATCTCTCCCAAAGACATTTAACATATGTAGGATGTTTGAATAAGAACATAAGAACGTTTAACAGTGGTAGAGCCCGCTTTAACATCTTCGCATGAATCGGCCCGGCTCGCCCGGTGAAATACCACAACCACACAGAAGAAAGGCGTGAAGTGGAAGCAATTGCGCGTTTCGTCTGATGAGTGTGTGTCCCGGAGGCCTAATTTAGTCCTCTTTCCCTTCCCAGGCTTTTTCTTATAAGCAAAGGATGGGAAGAGGAAGTGGACTTTCCGGATCAGAGGATGCATGAAAAGGGAAGATATTTTATTTCTGTGCATCCTCTCCTCCATCGATTAAAGGTAGGCAACGCATATACAATTGCGTATGTCTATGGGCAACGGTCACTTCGCTATTTCAGGTGGCCGCTCGCTCTTTTGCCACCTTTTGATATATAAAAAAAATATTGTTTTTAATATTTAACCCAGATTGCGACCTTACGGACTACTATACATTAGTGATCAGCGCCCACAAACACAGACATAAGTACAACAATTATTGGTTTGAGTTTTTATCACATTTTCCATACCCAGTTAAGTACATTTTAAATATGTGTAAAGGTTTGCGGAAATACAAAACTTTTGTAGGTTATATTTTCATAAAGCGCTTAATAGATAATATTTCTCAGCTTCGAAGAATTAAATAGACAATCGTAAGATTTTCAAATGGCTAAGTATTATAAGTAATACGATCAGTAAATGATTCATAAACAGTCCGGGTCAAACAAAGTAGTAAAACAGTACAACAAAACAAATCCCAAAGCGTCAACGTCAAGTTGGAGGAAAGCGTCATTGACAGCTGACATTTGTAGGGATGGGCGTTTATTCATAGAACTTGTTGAAGCACCTATTTTTCGCCGTCGTGCACTTAATTTCTGGATATCTGTTCACTGCTTTTTTAAAAGTAGTATAGTATAGTATGTACTTTAAAATTATGTTATAAAATCAAAATTAATGTATTAAATCACATAAAATGATACACAAATGAAATAAATAAAAAACATTTGAAGTTAGTAAGTAACCGAATAATTCTGTAGCTTGGAACGTAAAGGTCTTCTACGCGTTATTGATTATTAGGTATGCTGCATGCTAGGGATGCTGTGCGCAAGTGCGCTAGACTGAAAGTATTGATTAGCGACCTGTTAACTACATATGTATATATTATATATCTTTACAAAGGCAAGATGTTGCTATAACACTATATATGTTATATTTAAAGAAACGCTACTATATACTAGACAAAATTCATAATTATTCATCTAGCCTTCTGAAATAATTGTAATCGCTTAATGACTAGAAAGATTCAACTGAGATTGTTGAGTACTGCTCCAAACCAAACTATAGACTGGCTAGCAGTAATTTATGCATAGAATGCTCTTGAATCCTGTGACCATGTACTAATCAGTGTACATGAGGAGAATAAAAGACTGTTAAATTCCCAAATTAAGTTTATTAAAATCAACATCAAAATAAATTTGTTAAGGAGTAATAAATAAAACTGCCCTTTGCAAATTGAATGTTTCTAAAGGTATGGTTAGGTAGTATAGATAATTAAGAAACAATACATCAATTATCACAACAAAGAGAAATGAATATTAACAATAAACGCCAACAGTACAATGACATTTTATGACAAGTACAAAAAGTGTTTCTTATAAAATACAAAACATGTAGGTAGCCTTAAAAAATAACAATGATAGTTTCTGTCAGCACAATACAAAAGAAATATGATAAGTCTTAAAATTGAAATAATGACAGAGTAGAAATTTCTCTAAGTTTAAAGCTACACTTATTCTTATACACTTAATGTTTTTGAAACATTTACTAGATTGGTATGATTCTTACAGATAGAAGAGAATGAGCTTTGGTTAAATATTGGCAACAACTACTTGTTGTCTTAAATTAAGTTTTTTTTTTCATATTGCAAAAACCCCAGCCAAAACACGAGTAGGAAATAAAATAAATCAGTGTATCAACTACAAACTTTACTTAGTGGGATTTAAGACAACAGTATTCTTATATTTAAATAATAAATAATGTGAGTAAAAAACAAACAATAAACTACATTATTCTATTCACCAATTTAATTGAGTTGGTAGTTAGAATTAAATAAATATTAAAATATATCTAGGCTTGCCGATTCTTAAAGTCCAATAACATATAAATAATTTTCTTATTTTAAATTAACCACAATAATCACAGAAGAAAAATAATTATAATAATACTGAATCAACTTATTCAATAAATGATGCTAGAGGGGTATTATTACAATCATATGCATATTAAAAAAATCCTTCTCCCGCATTACGCAGAGCCGAGACGAACTCCTCATAGAACAGATCTCCGTCATCATCTTCGGCAGCGGCATGCGCATATTCATTGTTCTTGTAGTAATCAGTTGGAAGTTGCATGATGTATTTCATAAACTCCAGCTTGCATGGTGTATCATCTTCAGACCCTGAAAAATACTTAACGTTAGTTATCAATTTTTTTTTTTTAACATTTGTGAAATATTGATTTCAGATTGATTATGAAGTAATACATATTAACATAAGACATAATTTATTTACCGAAGACATAAGTAGAGGCATGGAAACCCTGCTCCGGAGGAGGGCTATCAGAAGTCGGCACAAGCCAGGTCACAAAAGCACTGACTTCATCTTGATAGCGGGTGAGGAAGCCACGGATCTGCGCGAAGTGGATCTGGCCACGCCCATCCTCCATTGATACTATGGCCCCACGCCGCATGTGCACATTCTGTAAACAAAGAAGTACCTTAAATACTGTTTTTAGTTATTAACACAAGCTGAAAAAAAATTACATCACAATAGAAAATATGAAAAAAAAATTCAGACAAAAAAAAATTAAATGGACTTGTTAATTTTGAGGAATTTCCATAATTGAGAATTAATCTATACTCAAAGAACCTTGTTATCTCCATTTTAAAACGATAGAATTTTAAGGGAATTGTTACACAAAATGGCGGATTTATATTATTTGATACTTGGCACTTATTTAATTTTGATATCACAAGTTTAAATACAACATAATAGCTTTAATTAAACATACAAAAAATAAAATCAAAATAAATGATAAAAGGTTTTCCAAATGTTCGCATTAAGTTTTAAAATAATTTTCAGAATTTTTAGTAACAAGTGAAGCCAAATCCAATAAAGCATAATTTAAGCGTTATTAATTAAATTATAATAGACCTACCTGATAAAGTACAGATTCACTGTATTCCCCGGCGGCAGGAGCATGAAGATGTTCGAAGAATTTCGGGAGATGCGAGCAATCTTTGCATATTTGGCCGTTTGCGCCAATACGCCAAAGTACACCATTAGCGTTATTACAACTCACGCAAGTTGGTTCAGGCATGTTTAATATCTTCCTGATTTTCTCTCCTTATTTTACAATAACTGCTGAATTGAACACCACCTCTATTCCGCAGCGACTCCAAAGACAATTTGGAAAATCAATACGAACGTGAGCCGGGCCCAGACACAATAATCAATAATGTTATTTGGTGGGTATGGATTCAAAACTTTTTGCCATAAAAACTATAACTCTTTGACGTCGTAAAAATAATTTGTAATTACGCCATAGATGTAGGGTAGAATGATTTAGACAGATACCGACTTTTGTATGTTGAATAAGTCAGCGCTTCACCGAGAAATAGGTTTTTAATTATGGAATTCATTAACGAGTTAAACTTGTAAAATGTGTATTCTTACTTACGACAAACTTAACACCTACCCACCCTTAGAGAGGCGCTGTTGTAGCGGTTAGTTCTGTCAGAAAATGTGTAAAGCCTTTATAGTCATAGGAAACGACGAAGAAAAAAAAACATGACAAGACTTGTATAGATTTTTTTATACAAAGTTGTCTGACAACAATTGGTGATACTGACCTCTACACAATATACAATACACAAGGGTCCGGTGGGTATAAGTCCAAACCAAATTATGATAGTTCACTAGCGCCCCCGTTAATATCAATAGAGTGTCACAAGATCCCAAAGCTCTCAACACACCTTCAGTTTTAACTTACATGTTAAATCGTACGTGTGTAGATAACATTTTAACATAAGCTTTAAATGTACATCGACATTTCAGTTAAAACCATATGGATAAAACTGATATGGCGTAGAGGGTTTTATTGTGCTGTGTATTCATTTTTTTTTCTATGCCTATGTTTATTGATTTTACTCATTTTCTAACCGAGTTAATCGTGGTAGCAGCGACCTTATTACCGGATCTTAATCTGCTTGTCGTACTATAGTTCACCAGAGCCTGTTAATTTCAAAATCGTGCCATAAATTTATATCTTTCAGTAATATTATAAATGTGAGTGATTGGTGGATGGACGGATATTTGTTTGAAGGTATCTCCAGAACGGCTGAACGAATCTCCAAGAAATTTGGCATACATATAGAAAATAGTCTGTAAGAACACATAAGCTCCTTATTATGTTTTTTTTATTCATAGCGGACAGAATCGCGGGCAAATCAGGTATTATTAAAAATTACTTTGCAACAAATATGTATTAAGATCAAAAAGAAAACCTGTTACAGAATTATTTCTAACCTACTAACAAAAGTGTATCTGTAAGAAATTTGTAAGGTGGAACCACTAAATTGGTAGGCGCTGGTCCTTTGCGAGCTCGTCCCACGTTGTCAAAATGACTTCCATGACAAGGGCAATAAAACCCGCCTGCCCAGTCACCAGAATTCGGCACAGGGACACAGCCTAGATGAGTACAAATGCCTATCACCACAAGCCACTGAGGCTTTATCGTACGCTGCTCTGGTGTCTCGGGGTCTTTTAGTGAAGACAAAGGCGTCCGGGCCTCGAGTGCAATGTCAGACTGGGTTCTGTACTTGACGAAAAGTGGCTTCCCTCGCCACTTTACTGATAGACATTGTCCTGGTGTAACCTTTGATATGTCGAGTTCTATCACAGCCAAAGCGAGAACATCAGCGGGAGCAGACATTGAATATATGTAGTAAAGTATATTAGCTTTTGTACCGTAAGCTCCACCCATCAGACCAAAGAATCCGACGACATATGTTATTCCAATTTTACGATCTCCGGAGTGCCATTTTGTTTTGTTTACATCTTTAAATTGTTTTTTTCTATCATAATCGAAATTCGGAAACTTTACATCACGGTGTAAATAGTAAGGTTTGATTTTGTGATATCGTATTTGTGTCCAATTCGTCAGTCCAAACGAAGAGATTTTTGTACTCGTATAGATAGGTTGAAGTTTGTATGTAGTCCTTTTACATTTTTCACCTTGAACGTCTTTATCTAACAAATAGGTGGGGTTAAGAAAAATTCTATATGGTGTTTTCCGTTGTCCGAAACGTACAATGCATTTATTTGCTATAAAATTCATTATTTGTATTATCGGTTCTACTTAGTTTACAAATATATTTTGATCGATTGTTTGACAGAAATCAATGACAATTAGATTTTTTATAAATTGACAGTAAAAAAAATTTAATTATGGATAGACAAACGACAAACCTTCTTACGTCTATATTCTATCAAAGCAAAAACTTTCATGGTGTTGATACGATGATGCCGTTATTATTATTAATTATTAATAAATCAGTATTTCTAGTTTATTAGCTTCTTGCGTAATTATTAATATTGATATGGTTGGTATAAGAAATTGTTGTATTAGCTAATTAAGTAAAAATTAAAGACAGAAGGTCCCTTAAGTAGGGACTAAATAAATTAACCGAATTGGTATTATATGTCACAACTTTTTACCGTAGAATAACTGAGTTGTGAAACGTGGCTTTTTTGATGAGTTTTTTATTATATTATTCAAACTTTCGTGAGACAATATACTAATCTGATATATAAACACGGCTAAACACTCACGTATATTGAATATACGTGAGTTTTTTATGTTTAGGTTGCCTTATCCCACCAGTTCAGCTTTGTCGGTCTATATACGAGTATCAATCTGTTTTTGTCATATACCTAAGAGTTTTCACTGCTTCATTAAAAAACATTTTTCAACGCCCTCAAATGATTTCATTGCTTGTTTAAAAAAACTGCCGTGCAAACTCACAGTAATATTCATATATCGTATTTTTATTTTATTTTTACTAAATATTGTCTCCAAATTCTATTACTTAAGTATCTCATTGAAAAATCAACGCGCTGTTGACTGTATGGTCATCCGGCGCATATTCGTAACTTTGAAGGTTGTGCAACGCAATCTGTGAAAGTTGTACTCGGTGGCCGAGGTCCAAACGTAATGTGCTCGTTCTCAGTCGACATACGGACGGACTGGTGGATTGATATCGCCTAAACACTACGACACAATTGTACTTTTTATATCTGAATTGTTCCGAGTGAGTTATATTTTTTTATTCTTTATTCAATTGTAATATTTTTATTAATTATTTTTGTAAATGTGGGTGTCAAATTCTTAAATAATTTTATGATAAACGTATAAAAAGTTTGTTAGCTTGAAATTGATATCCATTATACAATATTAGTAATAGCAGTTACCCTATTTTAAGGTGTTTTTATTTCGTTCTGTTTGCAAAGTACTAAACAAACAAAAAATAAATATCGTCTTTTACATTTTTCTCATGTTTTAATACAATATCTTCTAAGTTCTATAAGTTTACGTTAACGTTGAATTAAAAAAGAATATTTTAGAATATCTGTAGATGGATTCGGACGAAAACTGTGACAAGCAAGCCCCACCAATGTTTTATTTTCTTAAGAAATATCCCCGACCATTACCTCGACCTAGTCTGAAGTTAGACCCAACGTAACGAATATATATTTTTGTTTCGTATGAACTAGCACTTGACCACGATCCTCTTGTATCTAAAATATAAAACGTTTTAAGAGTTGCCTTAAATAGTTAAATTATTTGTACGAAACGATACTTCCACATTCAAAGTCTTTTAAACATTACTATTTTAATGTCACTAAGGGAGCACCTTAGCATCTATTTAGCATAAGAAATCTACACTAAGGACCTCGTCTAACGACTAATTAGCGATTCTGAGTAAAAGTTACAAAACTATGAGTACTAGTAAGACATTTAGAAAACATACACTCGTTGTTTAAATTCTCGGAAAAAATCGTTAAATAAAAATTCAGTGTCTAATGATTGATAATTTTTAGATTTGAGTTTAAAAAAAATTACGTGTTAATCGATAAACGATTTGCTAAGTACTTTTTATAATTGTTTAGTAATTGAGTAAAACCAATTGTAAAAAAGTGGCAAAACTGTTTAGGGCAAATCATTATTCTAAGATTATAATAACTACTTTTATCTTAAGAAAAATGTACTACATGAAAGCGATATCTTTAATACATATTCCTTCTTTCTGTGGAAAATTAATTTTGTTTTGCATATGAGTATACTACCACTGCGAAATAAAACCACTCGTGAAGATAGATAGCAACAAAAATAAAGCAAAGAACTAAGAAAACAATTGGGAAGTCTTTTATAAAACACATTTTAAAAAAGAAACATGAAACAGGAACACTGATAATAGCAGCAAGGATCATACTACACATTACTACCAAAGTAATCACTCCAAGCTTAGTGACATATGCCCCTTTCGTGATAGCGCCATGAAGAGTAAAATAGCCCGCCAGCGTCAGGAGAAATGAACTAAGTCCGATTAAAAGTATGATTTTCTTTCTCACACATTCGTTAATTTGTGTGCATACGAAGTTGGATAGAATGCTTTGCTCTGCGAGACCGTATAATATAACTCCTGCGAGTCCGATCATACCTGATGCGAGCGCAAATAAGCCTATTAGAAATGTCCCGAGACGCAAACTCAAACAACCACAACACTTTTGTACTTCAGGTATTTTCAACTTGATCAATGACTCATCCATATTATAATTTTTGGGTTAAGCGCATAGTTTCTTATAAATTAATCTGATAATAACTTATCAGCCATGTGTACTGATTTGTTAGGTAAATTTTAGTGATCTAAAATGTTTGAATAATATTTACATTATGTTGACATCTGTCAAAATGACATCTATTTGTCTCAGATTTGTTTTTACTCAAAAATAAACACACGCTCAAAAACATAACTGATAAGGTTTTTTTTTTAATACAAAGTACATATTTTTTAATTTGTTTCTGGAGATGGCACCGTCTTAATTAAACCAAAGTGTACGTATTCAGAGAACTTATCTAAAAATTTTTGTACATACCTATACAAGTATAGGCAAATGGCGGTGGATACGCGCTTATATATTTCAAATGAAATACTTGGTACTATAAGTATTTTAACGATGTATTTAATAATTCGGCAGAATGCTGTCACGGTGTCTTCTTATTGTGTTTGTGGCGGGTGCGCTGTCTGCTCCAGTGGACGAACCGATACGAGTCGATCTACCAGTATACGATACGCCACAGTCAAGTGTCCACCTCACCGAACCCCTCTTACCAGAGAACCATCCAGAATTGAGAATGAATAAAGAATCAATCGTCGACAATTTTCTATCGCACAAAGACACTAAATTAACACAAAGCAGTCCTCCGGTAAGTTTTTAAATATGTAGGTGTATCCGTGACTATACTGTCGAAACACTGGAAAAAATAGTCATTTCTTTCAGTCTTAAAATAAATCAGGTATATCTATCTCTTTTACGATTATGAATGTTTTTTTTTACAATTTCAGATCGGTTCTGTGAATTACGGTGGTGGCTTGTTTTCGGCTCCTGTAACTACATTAGAAGGCGCTCTGCTAGAAACCGAAGGTTTAGGAAGCAAGACTCTCTCGGTCAAGGAAAATGTGCAAAATGTTGCAGCTGGTATTTTCCAGGTAATATTTTATTTATAACGTTACCCATTGAAAACACACCCTTTTTATGGTCATATCTTTAATAAAATCCAACTTTCATCAAATATTTTCTATCTGGTTTGTCAGAGATCATACATCAACATACACATGGCAGTCGGTAGGTCGTCTAGAATTTTAGAATGTCACTATTTTGTTGCTGCGTATCGTACAAAATCTACGTCCATTCTCTTTTTCATATTATCCGTAGAGATTGTTATTAACGTAACATTTACCAAAGATAAAATTTGCGGTGTTGATGAATAAATTAGAATCGAATTAGAATTTGCGTGCAACACGCATAGTCCACAGAAGTGGAGCTCATTGTCACACAGTGTAAGAGCGAAGTTGCATTTTAAATTGTCACCTTGAGTACATTACACTATTATTACTATTATACATAAGGATATGCTTGTCAAATAGGCGCTATACGAGGGCAAACTTTGTTGTTTGTTTGTCTATTACGTCGCTGCCTGCCGATGATCTAGGATGGATATAGAAGGGCGGGGAGTAGTAGGTTATCGGAAAGTTACCAATTAGTTTTTGAGTTAGATAACTAAAAAAAACTGTCAGATTATTAAAATACTATGTGTAAAACGATAGTAATTATGTATATAGAAGCAATTCATATCTATTTCACATATTTCTAGTTCTCTAGGAGGTTTGCTGTCCACCCACTGACCATGTAGACGGACATACCCGTACAAAAACATATTGTTGTATAATATTTGTGTATTGTTATATTATTGGTACTTCGAGCATGTTGTAATCTACCTGACAATAATACGACATCTTTTTAAATGTATACACACACAATATATTCTTCTGTAGACTACTACATAATTTAAAAATATTTTATACTTGTGTTTAGTGAAGCTGCTAAAGTTTAAGGAGAAGACTAAGACTAAGAAAAAAAGCAGAGAATATGTGTCTATACATATGTCACGGCTTTCGAGAAAACAGTTTTCATTTAAAATTCCATTCCAGCCGAAACCAATAGTAGATACAATACAAGAAGAGGAGAAGTACGGCAACAATGGTGACAAATTTTATAGTGCAGGAAGGGCTATCGTCTCTGGTGCTGAAAGTGTTTCGAATTTCGTCAATACCGTTCTAGAGGTTTGTTGAATATAAAATATTATAATAGGTAGAAAGTATTCGACAAAAATTGTATTAGATATGTCCAGCATATCTGACGTAAAGTAAAACGACTAATGTCATACAAATTTTGACATGTATAGTCTTGAAAAACCATATCGCAAATATACGTGATAGACCTTCATAATTGACACATTCTTATTTATCTTACTTCTTAAATACTATACATGCGAAGTATGGTTGTATGGATGGATGTTTGTTAGATGGTACACGGCTGTGTGGATCTCGCTGAAATTTTGCAAACGTAAATCTCTGAAATTCTGTAAAAACACATACATGGATTACTAATTATGTTAATGGTAATTCCGCGCAGACAGTTCAATACAAATTATTTTTATTTAACTTTTTGTATTTCAGGTGCCTGTTAAACTTTTTAGGGACGTAACTAGAAAAGCCACGGAAAAATTGAATAACTTGGGAGGAAAATTAATTGGTTTATAATTTAAGTTTTTAAAACTAAATATGTATTGTTATTTTTTAAGAATATTGTACAAATTTTTATTAAATATGTGGTTTTATTGAATACTAAAGTTATTAATTGTGCGTGTTATCCTTTCTTTTAATTTATTTGTAAAAAGGCATAGCGATATGAAAGGCAAGAATCTAATCAGTTATCATTTAAATGTTAACACTTGAATTTATTTCTTTCGTGGCTTATTATCAGTATTTGTACCAGAGATATAGAAAGCTCATAAGACTTATCTCAGAATTTCAAATATAATACAAAACGTATATTACGAACACCTTTCTCATTTCTTATAAATATATAAACCGTCTGTGTAAACCGACATTTCGAGACAACGAAAACCCTACCGGTAGTAAAGTTTTTAAGCGTACATTTTGTATCGTATTGTTTATTATGTATATTTTAAATATTTGATTAATCTTGATAAATAGTATACAACAACGGATGCGTTGCAGATGTCCATGAGCGTCGGATCAAATAATATTAGGCGATTCTTTGCTCGTTTGCCCCCTTCTCCTATAAAAAAAAAACAAACGAAGACAAATTAATATAAAGTATGCGTCTTAGAGGATTAAAGAAACAAGTCGATAAGAAGTACTTTATTTCATAAATTCTACTCATAACCATTTTTCTACGAAGAGATAATTTATATAGACATTAATAGTTCAAAATTACATTAAATTCTAAGACTACTTCTAATAGCAAATCGCTTGCTAAAATACAGAAAATGCTCAGCATACATAAAGTAAACAAAAATACTAAAGATGACATAACATTAAAAATACTAATTGAGGTTTACAAGTTTTCACGTCTTCGACGGTTTATTTCACAATAATACATGAAAATACTTATAACGGTGTACAGCAAAAGATTCGCGGGATTTAAATCACATAAATATGCCACGAATAAGAAATTATATAGAATTAAAGGAAATAAGCCCGCAAATAGTTTTGTCGATTATTTAAAAATTGCAATTTAATCTACCAGAAACGCGCTACACATAAACGTTTAACATTACTACAATTAGTCATATTTACACAAAAAGCATACGATGTACTATTTTGATTATATTAAGATCATAGAAATGTTTCGTCAAATACAATCTAAGATTAATAAATGTACTGATCTTAATGACTATCGAGAAAATCCTTGAATATTTATTGAAAATCTTTGACATCTACGACATTTCATTTTAGGGATAGTATAATTTTAAGAATTACTATTTCAACTATTTCAGACAAATAGAATAATAGGAATTCTATAATTTAAAGACATTGATTAATTTTAATAATAACTACTTCAAAAACATCCAGATTATAAATACCATTATGTGAATTCAAAAAGTTTACTAATTTTATTTTATTTAATGAATTGTGAAATGACTAATCTAAATACGTTCCTTTATATGACGTCACTACTTAATACAATATCGATTATTCATAGACACCTATTAATTTTTAACATTAAGAATATTAAAATGCTATCATTGTTAGTGATAATGAAAAAGAAAAATGTACAAATTTCAATAAATCAGATAATTAACTTATATATAATGCCAAAATAAATTTAATACAACATAAATGATGATCCCAAATTAATGATTAAAAACAGAAATCGATTTGCCGCATTCAATTTTTTTAACGCTTTTCAAAATAATTCTTAATGAAAATTATAATAATATAAAAAGAATCCATTAATTAAACATTTTACTTATTATTAAAAATTGTAATATCGAAGTAATCTTATAATAGTGAAGTTTTTACAACAACGATTAAATATAACCCTTTGAACGCCTAAAAAATAAACACATACTAAGAATCTTCCTACGAAAATACAGGTATGATTAAAAGATGTCGCATTTATCATTCCAAGTTTTTCAATAATCATGTTTGTCGCGATAAGACGGACAAAGGGTTAAGTTAAGAATGCATATAATAAGAAAATTCCATTAATATAATAAACATCAAGAGTTATTATTAAAACGCTGTCATTAATAAGCAATATAGAGATACAGACATTGAAAATCGATTTAAAAATGGATAATATCGATGCATTTATCAATCGGGCGATTAAACGTGTTTATTCATTGTCAACGTAATCGAGTACCGAGAAATCGATATTTTTCTGGGAGCGCGTACGTCATGGCCGAGTCATCTGCAGCTTCTGAACCGTCTCGATGTACAGCTTGTTATGCACCTTAACCCGTTCCCTGATGTTTGGTGGAACCTCGTTCAGAGATGGGAAGAGAGCTTCATCAACGTCATCACGGCGATAGAACAGCATGTACGGAGTGTTGCACGGACGCAGGAATTGTATCTGATCTTCATTGCATTTGGTGACATCATCATCGTTGAAAAGATACCAGCCGTCTTCAGTTTTGGCCAAGGTATAATAGTGTCCGGATGACATGGAGGTACCCTCGTGTACAATAGCCGCGTACATGGTATAACCATTTTGGGTCTGTGCCGGCACAGTGGGCAATGTCACACTGTGACTGTAAATTGTCGGCGACATCAGTTTATTCTGAGTCAGCTTCTTTGTGTCGAATCTGGTGAAACGGAATTATTTTGATATAACATACAACTAAATAAATAATATTTTTAAATAGCTTCAATAAATATAAACCACATAAATGTGTTATTTCAAAGTAATATCTATTGGCACTAATCCTTGCTAATATTACAAGTGCCAAAGTAACCCTGTCTGTTTGTCGCACTTTCGCACAAAAACTACTAAATGGATTTAAATGAAATTTAGTACACAGACAGTTTAAAGTCCGAGAAAGGACGTAGGCTAGTTTTTAATACGTAAAAAGGCTTGTATTGTAAAAAGTAAAGATTTGATTGTTTTCTATCATTGAATAGTTATCCAAACTACTGAACGGATATCAGTAGGTTTTAAAAAAGTTGCAATTTCAGTTGGAAAGTAAATAAAAATATCTCACTTGAAGTTTTTCAACACAATGATGAGATAACGCGGCGTATATTCAATGACGGCGCGTCGTTCGACATCGCGTTTGCAGCCGCATGCGGGGCACTTGTAGCGGTTGTCCGCAGTCAGGAGCTCAGTGGAGCAATAGTAGTCGACGAGACTTTGCACGGTGTGGATGTGGTCTTTCTTCGCTTCGGGGAACGCGAGTGACAGGTCACGGAATACGTCACGGGTGGTCGACAGAGTATTGCACACCATGCATCTCATACGAGACAGAATCACACCACCGAAGATATGATCAACGAACGACTCAGGAGCCTCTGGGGGTGGTTCGGTGGTCCTTTGACGCTTGCGACTATTGCTCGATCCCTTGCGAGCACGCTTCCTGTTTGCGGTAGCACCTAAAAATGTCAAATTCACTCTTGACTTAGTAAGAAATAAATTAAATTAGTCTTAATTTAAAGCTATACAACAAAAGCTTTATAAATTCTAGCATGGAAGTGTTTTTTAATGTATTTTCATGTCAATTTGATATAACGTTTAACTAATGTGACTGTAAAGTGTGAATTATAAGCGAGTACAATATAAAATAAAATTTACCAGTGCTGCTACCGGCAACTGCCTCGTCTTGATTATTATCAACGACGGCCTCCTCTTCGCTGGAAACAAAAATGTTCCAGTTAAAAGAATAACATACTTTACTGAAATGTGACTACATTTTCTGTTTTATAATATTGTAAACTATTATGTTATGTTACAAGCATAACTCTTACGATCGTATTTTTTCCCATTTTCCTTTTAAAGAGATATACAGTCAGAGAAACTGGCGGTTACACCTAAAAGGCGACATTCGTTTATCGTTTCGTACGCATTGTGATAACGCGTAAACAATAACCAATGGAACGCAGGTATTCAATGTGTCTGTAGATAAAAAGGTCGGTCTGTGGTACAAGACTAATTGCTTTTTACTATTATCCCATCCTTTGGTTATTTATAAAAAGGGACGGAATTTGTATCGATGCAGAAAACAAAGTAATTCAGTAAATGAAACACCGCAGATTACCGCGACTGTACTTTTTCCCACACAATTAAATTATCTTAGTTTGAATTCTGATTAAGGATCGATTGTTAGGTTCTCAAATGATGACCGAATGAAAGACTTACGTGGGATTGGGAGACAGAGTGAGCGGCGGTGGCAGGCGACGTCTATACGTCACAATGACAGGCGCCTTGGAGTAGTCATGGTCGCAATCCATCTTATGCTCGTACGACAGAAGCAGTTCGAAGAAATACCTATGAAAATTTTTATGATTCATTTTGTTTCTGTTTTTATTTATTTGCCTGTTTTATTTAATCTTACTAATATTATAAATGCGAATGTTTAGATGGATGGATGTTTGTTAGAAGGTATCTGCTAAACGGCTTCGTGGATCTCGCTTAAATTTGGCATAGATGAAGAACACACAAGCTCGCAGGCAACTGCTAGTTTACAAATAAAATCAAAAACAAGTCAAAATAATTTTTGCTCGACACCAACTAGTGTGTAACAGGGAAAAATAATTAAAAACTCTATGCTATGAAACGGCACTTTTATTGATATTTACTTTTTATTTTTAGTTACGTTACCCTGAAATAAATTGGAAAAGTTTTAACGAAATAAATAATACGTACCCCAGGAATTCGGAGGTATCGTGCTGTATGTCGATGTTGAATTTCGGCGAATTCATTGTGACATAAAAGTCGTCCGGATCGACTTTAGTGGACACAGAGTACTTCAATTTGGTGAAAAGCTCCGCCAGCTTAGCCCAGTACGCACGGTTATGCAGATGCAGTACCACGAAGTTACTAAATCTGCAACAAACATTTGAATACCCTTTCTATTAAATTGACCACAAACATTTGCTTAATTAAAACTGACGAAAGCGCACAGTGTTATTAGCAGTGCCTTCTAGCATCCAATAAAACGTTACATAAAAAGTAAAGTAATAAAAGAGTAAGCATTGCGCGACAAAAGAGGGCGTTGCTTTTTTTTAGGTAATTATTGAGATTTTCAGCAAGGTATGATTGCAATCCATTTGCATTGCATTGATGTATTGCAACTAATCGCACAGCGAAAATGTTCTAAATTAAAAAAAAAATCAGATTATACTACTATTTCGTTAACACAGTAAGATGTTTCGTCCTAGATCGCAGGTTATTTTCATTATAACAGGGCAAGATCTAACGAAAACCTATTTAAATTTTTGGAATATTTTAAAATTATTTCATATCATAAACAAAATAGACTGCAGACTAAATAAATACCAACATTATTCGTAATAATTAAATTTAAGCCCTTGTTGTAAATACTATAGTTTGTGTTGCTATTTGAAACGCTACATGTTCAAGAGCAAAGCAATTTAAGTAAATAGAAGCAAACACAAACAAAGCATTGTTTTTCACTTAGAGAAAATAAGGTTCAACATATAAAAAACAAATAAAAATTAATTTAAAAAGGCCAACAGTTTTTGCGCGCAGAAATTGTAGTTCTGTAAACATAATTAATTTAAAAAGTCAACAAGGCCAATTGGCTACTCATATGAACACTTCAGGGAACACGCAACGAATGGAGCAGTAAACAACATCAACCTCTATAGACAAAAGGTCAAAGGAACGACGCAGCGGACGAGCTAGCCTGTAGAGGCCGAGCGATCGATCTAGATGCCCACGCTTACCACCGGGATATCTCAAGTCACAGGTAACAGAGAGAAACTAAGCACTACACAGCGAGCTCTGGGACAATACCAATATTTAAGTTGAGCTAAGGACTCCTCCGGACAATTATGACAGCCCTTACTATCTTTCATTTTCACAATTCACCTACATGCATACCCGCGAAAATTATTACCCTTCCACAGTCGGGTAACAAAGAAATTGTGTAAAAATCTCGCTGGAGCGAAGAATTTCGCAATAAAGCAACTAAATATAAGCAGTTGTAAATTTCGCTACGGCATTTTGTCAGTTTACTCAAACACTTCAAAAATTCGCATCATAAATTTATTCTAAAGTCTGTTTTATAAGGAACGCGAGCAACACTGCAACTTCAAAATTGCTACCATCGCATTCAAGCATAAATATATTTTTAAAGTGAAATTATTACACCTATCCATCAAAAACGCGTCTGATAGTGTATTGCTTGCTAATTGTAACATTGGCGATAAAAAAATAAAACTGAAAAAAACATAATCAAAATAATGGAATAGTCTGCCTACACCATAAGAAAGAAAAGATATATTTAAAGAGACTTCGCAAAAGGCCGGCAACACGTGCGGAGTTCCTTTGGAGTTACGGATGTGCGTGGGCATTGGATAAATTAATATAAGGAGATCCGGTGCTCGTTATCTTTTCTGTCCTAATTAAGAAAAGAGCAAAAGTAATAATATACTTACTCTCTAGTGGCCAGTAATGCCTGCATAACGCTGTTCACGTAGCATGTGGTGCCTCTGTTCAAGAGGCCGACCTTGCGTACGACGGCCATCTCGTTACCACCAGCAGCGGCCATGTTGCTCTGCGATCCCCAAGCCGGCAGTCTCAAGAATTGGCTGCTCCTACTTGCCATATGCTGCTCCAAGCAGGTAATCTAAACATAATAAAACAATTTTAAACTAGTGGTAACTTTTAAAAAATCAAAATGGCCGACCGACGGTGAAGTTGGCACTTCGAGAAAAATACCTTTCAAACGTTTAGACCAGTCTTTACCAAAGTGGGCGATAATGCCCCCTTGTGGGCGCTGCAGGTTTCAAGTTGCGGGTTATAGTAAAAGTTTCGTTTAGACTTCTCCGTTAATATACATATATAGGTCACAATAATCAATTAATTTAATTTAAAGTTATAGTAGTTTTTAAATATGTGAAAATATGGGGGCGCTAAAAAATTTTTATTCTCAAAGTGGGCAGTAGACAAAATAAGTTTGGGAACCACTGGTTACTAACCCACGTACATACAACTTCCATATTCGTGAAAACTTTGCAAAAAAATAAACCCTCTTCTCTCGGGTAAATATAAAAAACAGTATAATTAAAAAATCTTTTATCAAAAACCACCAGGCCACGAACGTGTGTTTCATTAAAAAGAAAATAACTATGAAACTTACTTTCGACCAAAGAAAGCGACAGAGCCTGGGCGAACGTGTACCATTACCACAAGCATTGAAAAGATAGCAAAGAACTTTGAAGCAAATACGCTAAGTAAGAAACTAAGTTGGAAGTTCCGTAAACTCGTGTCAGTTCTTAGAGTTTGAAACCAAAGTATAAAAGAAAATCATTCTTAATAATTGAGATTATTAAATACAATAAAACAACAATTTCTTTGTCAACTTTAGCCTGGAACATTAATGCTTTGGTAATTTCTAAAAACGATATTTCTATTGTAAAAAATTTTTGTTTCTCAATTAAACGCAATTTAACGGCAAATCAGGGAAAATGGATATGATATTACGTAGTATTATAATGAAGTACGCTCATGTATGTGTAACTCTTTATTACATATTATAAAATTTGCATTTAGTTTACGAATGTACATCACAAATTGTAACCATTGTTGAAACAAAAAGAATTGTTATTGGTATGCAAATCCATCGGAATATGAAAGCCGATGTCAAACGTCCGTTAATTGCTTTATGCATACGCTGCAAAGATGTTTCGATTTTAAAAAATACATTTTGGATGAAAAATAAAGTTTTTTCATTTTAAAAATTGACCTTTGACAAAAATATCTAAGAACGAAGAAAGAACATGTGGGTGTTAAGTCCCGCTTATGTAAAATTCTACTTATAGAATAAACTTGCTGATATTAATATTTGTCACTTTCGTGACGCAATCGCACGTTTGATATCAAAGTTATTGATAGAATTTTCAACGCACAATATTTTCGATTGGAAATCCGTTAAACGTTATGAAAATAATTCCATCAATCTGTCTCCTTTGAGCATTTTAATTGAAAGTTATTTTTTTTGAGGTAAATAAAATTATTAAAACTATTAAAAAATCAAAAAGGATTTTCTTAAATCTGATGTAATTTTTGAGATATACCAAGTGATAGGTGATAAATGCTCGAAATAAAATAATCACATAACTTTTTAGACTTTTACCATAAATTTTATTTCGTAACTGGTAAATTATAAGATTTTCCGGAATTCGTGACCGAAAAAATTAAAGGACTACAAAAAATACTAGTGATTTGTGACAAAAAAAAACACATTTTTTTGTATCGGAATAGGGGAGAATACTTTCAAGATTGCCCTTACTTAGATATACCTTTCCTAAAATGAAAAGCGTAATCAACTAAACTAAAATAAATCATGCTTTCCTACAATCGTTGCTTCATGTTAATAGAATTGGTAGCGCTTTAGACACAACTGAAAACATTAGTCCAATCGAATTACAGTTAAAACAACTTATTGCCACAAGTTAAAGGTAAAGGATACGGACATCTTGCATAAACTCGCGGATAACAATCTACACGTATGCACCTCAAATGTGGGTAGGTTTTAAACTTAGCCGCATAAAAGGTATATAAAGAATAGCTTAAGAAAATCTCCATTATCTATCATTGGAAAAATGATTCCTAAGCCTTTAATACAAATAAATATTAGATAATTAGTACATATAAATAAATATTTTGTTAGAAGCAATTAAAATAAAATGCTCTATAAAATATATGCAAAAATATTTTCTTCTTCGATGTGGAAAAACGCTTTAATTTTTATAATAAAGAAAAGCGTTTTAATGATTAGTAGTAAATTTTATTACTTTATCTTTATATTAATTATATAATTAATTAAAAGAATTAGAAATAAAATCCAAACCTACTTTTAAATTCCGTGCTCATAGAACATTGCAACCGCCGGCAGATACAGTCAGATGAACAAAGTTAATTTTCAATCGTCCGCTGCACTAAGATATTCTATAGATATACTATAGAAACCGAGCGCTCAAAGCGATCAACACTGAGCACAAGAGGACGATCCTCGTCCACGAAGGACAGATAGCGTTTGCCGCTGCAGCGACGTAGTGTTTGTCAGGCGAATTCACCGTCGACATCTGAAACTAGACGTCAGACGGTGCGCAGCGCGATTGCGCGGACCTGCTGAGACTAATTAAGTTCGCACAACAAAAAGCGCCCTCGCTCGCTATTCGTTCAACTTTTATGTACATACTATATAACTAGGCAATTTAAAAATCCGAAAGCCTGAATGACTTTATACTATACCCTGGAAAATATGAATAGAATTACACCTCATCCTTCAAAATTAGTTCAGTTAATTAGACTACATGTGGTCACAAAAAATGTACAAATATATTTCTATAAGTTCGAAAAATAATAATCTCCTTGTCACTCAGCCCAACATGCTGAACTGTAAATTTCTATTAATCTTTTTTCTGGTACACTGCAAATTGATTAAAACCAGGTACCGGACACAATGCCTAGACCGACGCGGAAAAACGTGTTAAAAGTTAGTCTGTTACTAAAAGCTTTCGATACATGTACGGTGTGCATATTAATTGATTGTTTGAAAACTAATGTTTTAGAACGGACAATCGAGAACTGGAAACCGTATCGCTCAAGTTTGAAACTGTGTTTTCGGTTTTCTATTACAATGTAATGTAATTTGGAAAAGGTTTTCACTCGTTTGTCAGACCTTAAAGTCTATCCGTACACGGATGTTATAATTATAAACTAACACTCTTAACAAAAGCATTCATTTTTAAAAGCATAATAAAACTAATAAGCGGTTAACTCTTATTATATTATATTATAAATTGCTTCGAAAGAAAAGCTCGTCTAGATATAAAAATAGCCCATGCAGTAATTAATTTTAGGGTGCTAATTATGTTATGTGCACTTTTTCTACTTCTAAAATAACATACTCATATCTTAAGATAAACATTTTTTAAATACAGTATACAATGTCAATTATAACTACATAGAACATCCGAGAGCTGTGTCAACGCTAATTCAGACCATTCATTTCCGCTGGACCGTGCTGTTGCTATATGTAGGTATTTTAATCAGAAATTCACTTCAGTTGTTACACGAATGATCCCAACTCGAAATTAGTGCTTCAATTGTTCGACCAGCTCGCCGTAGGGATTCTCGTCTGAATGTTAACTATACTGTTATATTTACACTCAATTTCAAATGTTTCAAACATAAGCGTTATTTCCGTTTTTTTCTTCTTAATAACTTTCTGACAGTATAAAGATTGTTATTGTTTTTTTTCCCATAAATTACTTTACAATTATATAAATAATTAGTATTCTTTAAGTAATATAAAATTATTTCATCGTCTAGTAACCCAGGATATGCTTTTTTTTAATTTGGTTAACTATTTTTTTGAGCTGGTTAAGCCGGCAGGGTGAATATTTTATATCAGTTCATTGTCACGTCGAAAAACATTTGTTCCTAGTTATATTTTGTTTTTTAGTTGGTTAACGATAAAATATTTCTTTTTTTATTTCTACTTTTAAAACAAGGTTATATACAGCTGAGGTAGTGTTAGTAAAGCGTTATTCAAACCTTCTACACTATGTTTGAGATTTTAATCACTCACCACAGCATGGTATCTGCTGTTGAAACTGACAAGGTCCTGTCCCAACAACGGCCCCCTGAGATGGTCTACCATTGCCGTAGTTATGTCAACGACATTCTGCAATAGCTGCCAGCTCCACTGCCGGCTGTCAGCTACCAGGGCATTCAGCACCACGGCCAAATTTGGAGCGACCTTCAACGTTTAATAAATCTATGACCACTTTTTCACTGCACGACCAAGCGCGTGATTCTGTCCCCGGGCGAATTTATATCATTTCCATAGCATTGACATTGATAATGACCGCCATAGAAATAAAACTCGCAAAGCCAGAGTCGAGCGGCTGGTCGCGCAGTGGGAAGTGGTGTAATTCCTGCTTCCGTTATATTCCCTAATTAACTACTAATTTGTTACAAAATAAACGTATCGTAGGAAGACGAAACACCTCTGTTTTCTTAGAAGACGGATATTTTCTCTTATTATTGAAGTACAAATTATCCAGTCGTTTGTCTAATCTACATTATACTAAAGGCAAGTCAGTTAGGACTTCTCAAGAACTTAAATTAGGCAAGTAGAAGATTATTTAAACAAAGCTTACCTTATCGAGAATGTCGGTGGTTTCGCGAAGCGAAGCCATTACATGAAAAATGACTTCGGCATTAGACTGTCGGAGATCCGTAGGATTATGGACTGCCAATAATAGGCGAGACAAATTATCCTTGCTTACCTCGATCAAAACATCATACTGTTCGTTCTCCTGCAAGGTTCCAGATTTGTTCAATATTTGATTCGTATTCGAATCTAACAAGTATATACTCAGACAATAGAATAGAAATAGTGAAAATGATTTTTTCTAGTACATTTAAAAAGTCACAATACAGTTCTGATAGTAAGTTAGATTCTATTCTCGTTACGGATTTAAAATTTCCAAATAGAGCTTAAATTTATTTGCCGATTACTGAAATCCTACTGGGACATATAGACTCTTCGAAATCAATAACATAAAGTGCTAATAAGCACTTACTAAGTTTTAGGACAAGGTAAATCAAGATTTACCTCTATACCTTTATTGACGCTATTAATGAGAATTTGTTATAAACGCAATACAGAGACAGAAAGCAAGTCCCTTGAGCTTTAAGATATTACATAACCAATTAAAGGAAAGCGGTAAGAGCGCCCGCTTACTTGCCTGGTCTCGCCTAGCGAGTTCACCTTAATATAATCCAGTGCTGGCGACTCATGCGAGACTAAAGTCATACATATATATTAAACCTATGTTATGAAAAATCTAAACCAATATGAGCACGTCCTGTGTTCCTTGCTTCTTCCAATTTAGCGAATACCTTTTATGATATAGATATCCGCAATGTCGACTTACGAAGTACACGAGTGGTATCGTGCAGATATTTAAAATTCAATCTTATCTTAGAGTTTCACAGACATCGCTTCGTTATACTAAACATGGTATTTCCAATTTTATGCTTTATATTCTTTAGACTAGAAAAGAGGACAGAGGAATATAAATATAATATACGACCGAGACGACTAACCGTGGGTTTCAAATACCAAAATGCCCGTTTAAAAATATAGTTATCTCTGTTTTATCAAAGATAATGACAGGGATGACGATATGTTTTATACAGAAATTTTGGTATTAGACACCTACAGTGTATGTTTTATAGTATGTATACCATCTAATGCTAACTTCTTGTGTTTGTGATGAGAAATACAAAGAAGATAGTTTTATTTGAATATCCGGACAAATTAAGTATTTCATATGCTTTTTTATATATAATTAAAGTGATAACGATGTTATGTTTATAGAACAACACAACTTATTTTATAACATTTAGCAATATTGCATAACATCTAAAAATACACATATAGATAAACAACATCAAAACATTTTAAACACAAATAAATACTAAAATGATAATTATATTATAAATACACATTTAAAACGTATTATTTTAGCACTTCGAAGAGGCGAGATAAAGATTTTAAATCAATAATTTATTTAACGGCCTAAATCAATATTCGATATATTTCTATATCGATTCTTGAACAGTTTAAAAATTATTTTAATAACATTGTTTGAATCGGGATTCAAAAATTAAATACTAAATCTCCTATAATCAATAGACGATGTTTTCAGATTAATGTTAAAATTCAGATCGGTTTAATTTGTACCAAATAGATTAAAAATGTCAATTAAATATACCGCAGATAAGCTCAATTGGTTCGACAATGATTATTGAATTCGGTTTTAAACAAATAACATTATTACTACGCATATATCTGCCTTTTTCTTTCGATTGGTCGGAAACAATTGCCGCTATGCAATTTACCGTACAGGAACACGAGGAACTTAAGGAAATGAACATACAAGTAGTTGATAATTATGCTATTGTGTACAGTGCAGCTTATTCCTATTGAAAGTAGATTCGAAAATTGATTCAATTTTTTATTAATGAAAAATCTAGCGCCTGACCTCGATCTCACCCGATGTTAAATTGAATTTAGTAGAAAGATGAAAAATATTACATTTTTTACTAAGGTCCTTCGTACACAAAGCAAGGAATATCTTTGAAACTCGGCGATTTTAGTCTCTAGGCGATTTAAGTAATATCATAAAGGTTACTACAACGCGCGTCGCCGACATTTTATTCTCATGTCGCCATCACCAGTCGCTCACAATCTTTGCTGCGATTTTAAAGACATGTAATCGTTAACTGTGTGTGAGGAGCGCGCGCAACGCGATTCTCGCGTTTCAGCCACGCAATATTAGTTTCGACGATTTACGTTGCCGTGTGTACGTAGGGCCTAAATCAAAGAAAAACTTCACTTTATCTCGTCTCACCAGTGTATCACACTATTTAGTATTTTTTTTACAAACTGTTTACAACAGCTTCGCATTTACTTCGACATAGACATTAAATACATTATGTATAAGTTTCAAGAGCAATGTATCAAAGTCGAAAACCTTTTCCTCTATCGCAGTTTATAACTTGAGCCATATGGAATCGTGAATTGTGAATACCAAAAAAAATCGAAACATCGCTACGATGTCGGCAAGGACTTTCAGGCAAAATAGACTTGATTAAATAACCGAGTCAAATAAAAATAAAATAAATTTTCTACGAATGTTCAATCAAATTAAAAACCAGAGCGAACCAGAACTGTAAACTTTAACGTACAAAAAATTCTCAGAGTCGGTAAAAAAATATATCAACACAACGATTGATAATTAACTTAAGTGCTGATGTTGATTTCTCGTCTATATTTATTGGAGGCAATTAAATTTTATCATACTACAACAATTACGTTGTGAGTAATCGAATTAAATAATAAACATTTTTTATTACGTACTACAGCTCTTTATGTAAGAGTATTGTGATTTAAAAAGGATATTAACAAAAAAATATTTTAACCCGTAACGAGAATATCTAAGTTAACAAAAAAATGATAAAGGAACTTTGGAATATACATATTTTAAAGACAAATAAAAAGAGGTCAATTTATACTGTACGTATCTAGGTATTCCATCGTACGTAACGTTCCAGGGGCTTATATCAATTTACTTGGCTAACAAGAGCTCATATCTCGGCTTGTTGAGCGCAACATCGAAGCTGCACAGGTACTTTACATCTTAGGTAGCATCACGATACCACGTATAACATCCAGTGAGTCTTATAGTCATTAGTGATATTAAAAACATAATATTTACAATCGTTCTCAATTTTGTATAAAAAATTGGAACAGAAAAATTGCTTGAGTTCGATTATCCAAGACTAAAATAATCAACTTGTGACTTTGAGATTAATTAACATTGTTAATTTAAGTAATTTGCTGTAATCAATAATGTTACATATTATTATGTTCAAATTAAAATTAATATCAAAGCTAAATTAAAACTTACCTCCAGTTTTTTCATGTATCCCAGGACCCAATCACTTAAAGCCGGGGAGGCATTCCACTCCGTAATCCAGCGGTAGAGGCAAGCGAGAGCGGTGCCGAGGCTGGCTGGAGATGGACCGCCTTCCAACCAGCGAGCTGTACCGAATGGTGCCTCGGTCTCGGATCCATCGAGCACAATCAGGATCACTGACATAGCAGGACGCGCATCAGAAGCTACAACAAATATAAAGTTTAGTATTTCGGAAGATTTCCTTAAAATAATTCGAGTATGGTTTAAGAAAAACTTGAAACATTTTTTTTTAATTTTTTTAAGAAAATGACGTTACGCGCAAACGCTCCGCGATCGGCCGTTTTCGTGATTTCGTCTGACAAAGACATTATAACTTTAACATATCTGTAGACACAACCATTTCCAAAATTGTATTCAGATTTCACTGTTGTAAAATAATTTTACGAATACAAAGGAATAAATTAAAATATTGTGTAACATTTGTAATTGTTATTTTTACTTTTGCTTTGTAATATTAGTAAATGTTAACTTCAACGAAAATGTTTTTTTAGTTAGCTCTCAAACTATGTGACGTCGGAGAGAATGATATGACGTACTACTAAGTACCAAGAGCTTTCGGCTCGGCTTTGGCATCGAGTTTAAGAACGCATTTTGAAATTGTTGTTAAAACGCAAAAGAAAAGAAAAAATACTTATGTACGAAAACTTGAATACGCTATTTATATATAAGACGAAAAAAAAAATCACTGGAAAGGTCAATTGGTCTAACATTAATAATAAGATAATAGACTGTAAATACTTTACAATATGTACTCATATCCGCTTTTCTACTTGAGTCTGCGGAGACCGAAATAAGTCGAAGTAAGCCTCCTCTATTGTGATGATATTATTTCATATAATTGGTATTACAACAATAGAAACGAGCCGAAGACTCGATTGCGAATTACAAATGAAAATAAGAAAAAATAAAGAAATATGAGTTAAGTACAGGGCAGTATTTTTAATGATTTAATAAAAATAATATTGAATGGTACTTCAAAGCATCGATAATATATTATTTATTTTTAAAGGATGCATTAACATATGAACAGTACGATGTTAAATATTAAACGTTCCGAACGGAGTAAATTAGGTATTATTAGAAATCCATTAAAGAAGCGAGTCTAACGAATCCGAAATTTTAATAACATAATGATAACCTAGCTCAATTTTTGATCGATTGCATAAACAAAAATATATGTGAAATCTTTACAACTCCTTAAAACGTATTTTTCATTACAACCGTATATAACTTAAACACACACTATTGTGTAAAGCTTCACTCGATGCGTTCATGACAATCTGAACTGCTGTGAAATATTTGCTGTTTACCCAAATGCCTAGACTTGCGAGGTATTTATCGTATAAATTAACAATTCTATTGGATTAATTACAACTCATACCTTATATTAGGGAATAATAAGATATTCACGTACGCTCAATTAGCTTTGATTCATTATTGTGTGTACGCTACTGCAACCACCTACTTAGTCTCGAGGCAAATACCACTGAAGTTGTTAATTAGTATGCTTCAGTTCTCATCGACGGCGAAGCTTATAATATCATATGCATATAGTCTAAGGTAACTATTGATTTTTTACCATGATTTCGCAATTTATACGATTTTCATAAAGTACATTAAAAATGAGTTTAATACAAAATATTCCTATAACCATTTTAATATTTTAATCATCATAGTCTTGTACCGAAGCCACAGCTATGTTCTAATGTCTCGTGCAAAATGAAGAGAAGCCTTCGGTAATTAACAATCTATTTTACAATAACCTATAATAATCCTTATTGTTAAGGTATTAATCAAGAGCTCAGACTGTTTCCTATCACAAAATTCTCTATCAAAATTTCCTTTCGCGACTAAATATTTATCATTAAATGCAAAATATTTTGAAAATGGCAACACGCGAGTCAGACAACATTTTATCATAGCTTCGAGGTATTGAAATGACATACGAGCGAATTTGTGAATCCAGCGCTCGCCACAATTTCGACCATTAACAGATATTTGGACATGTTAAAATGGACTAGATTAATCTCGCTGAGTGTTTCAATTTAGAGGAAAAATATTTGTCATTACTATCAAATGAATATTCAGCTCAGTAATTCGAAATGTTTTCAAAAGCAAAGAGTAAAAGTATAAATGGAACGTTATTATTGAACATACGAATTAGTGAGAATTTTAAAAGCTACGGCGAAAAGCCGGCGTGCGAGTGCATGCTCCCCCTACCTCCCCCCCTTTGTAATCGTATTACAGAGTTGTTCCTCCCATTCAATTCTGAAATACGACGAAAAACCATTTTCGTTTTTCAACAAAATATATAAAATAACTGACTAACATATGAATATTTTCAGAGATTTCTGTTAGTACGGAGGCTTGCATCAACAAGGAATATTTCTTATTTTGATTTTAATTATTCTTAATCGAAAAAGTTCTTATAGTTTGTACTAATGTACTAAAACATGATAATATTTTTGAACAAATTTGAATAAAAAAATAATTGCCGAGAGAAAATAGCGACAAAAGTTATATACAATTTTGCTCAAAATTAATTATTTCTGCTATATTTTGGGGATACTGCGAACGTAGTTTTACCTTGGATTTAAAACGACAAACGAAACTCTCAACTGAACTAAACAATGCCCTGTCTCGTCCTTTGTAAGCGTACCTCGTTCGACTCGAGTACCCGCTTTATGTAATTACTTTATGATGGCAACATATTACATATGCTTAATTATGCAAGACTCAAAGTTCATATTTTAAGTGTTTTTCATTTATTCATTTTAAATATTTCGTTAGCATTATATACAAAGAGTAATGAAATGTAATAAAGAGATGACATTAAGAGCACTTTACTTGATATAATTTTCGTCCATCAAAGTAACGCTCTAAGTTATGAAATATACAAAACAAACTAAAATCTTGTTCATAACAAGATTAGTGTAAAACGATCTAAAAATATTTTTGGAAAGATCACTCTTAATAATATTTTAAATGTGAAAATTTAGATGGATAGATTAATGGATGTTTGTTTGAAGGTAACTCCAGAACGGTAAAACCGTAAAACATAGTATGGAAGAACACATATGCTACTTATTAAGTTTTTTGAATTCCTCGCGGATAGAGTCGCGGGCGACAGCTAGTATGCTAGCTAGTATAAAGACGTCGAAAATAAAGACAAATCGTTACCATATGTGGATTGTATAGGTACGATGCATTTATGTATTTAATATTTTCATTTCTTTTTATAACACACTAGCGGCCGCCCGCGAATCTGTCTGGCGAAATTGAATAAAAATATATAATTAGTAGTCTATGAGATTTTACAGATTATGTTCTAAATATATGCAAAATTTAATCAAGATCCGTTCAGCCGATCTGTAAATACCTTCAAACAAACATCCATCCATCCATCTAAAAAGTAACAACAGAAGGAGCTTTTATTACATGTCAGTACAAAACTGGACAACTATAGAACCACGACAGAGGTGAGACCCGCAAAAAATGTAGTTCACTATGTCAGCTCTTTTTATTCTTAAATGTCTTTCACAGCAGAAAAAATTACACAGCTTTCATGATTCACATTAACCGGAGCCAGATCAATTATCGGGCGTAAAATCTACGGTGTCTTACTTAGGAAAGTTACGTAACACATTCAACGCCATCGATTTTCTTACGAGTTCACTTTGTTTTTAATTACTACCATATATGAGACTGGATTTTTTTTAATTTCGTAAATCATAGTAACATCACATTACTTGCATCGATATAAGTATCTAGAACATTGATCCTGAGGTATTGATCAGACTTAAAAAAGTAAACTTGGACTGTTAAACAGTTAACCATTTATTTACTCAAGTTGCACTACACCATAGTGACCTCCGGGCACCTGAACAGCTAAAACTATTTCGAAAGAATCGTATTTCGGCCGATGTGTCAGATGTAGAGTAAAGAGTAGAATCTATAGCTTTTTAAAACTCTTTCCATATTTGTAATATTTTATATGAAAAATTAATTTATTACTTGAATTTGTGGCACTGAACATGTTAAGTTAAATAGCAGTCTACTTACTTGGATCGGATATTATGGTGAAGAATTTATCCAATATAGCATCGATGACGTCATTGCGCAAAGGGCACTCCAAGGAAGTAATGAGGCGCACGAGGTATTCTTCGACGGCCGTCAGCAGACCCCACAGCTCGTCTTCTGTGCCCACAGTTTGGCCTAGGACAAGAAATATTAATATATAATATTGATATATTAGAAGTTATGCTAGTCAATGGTTTTGATATGGTTTTTGGTTTAGATTTAACATTTTGAATCGTATATTTTCACATAATTTATCTGAATACATCTAAGAATTAATTTTGGTGAATTCCTTTTAAACTAATTATTTAAACAAATTGATAAACGATGGTCAAACATGCAGAAACTAAAACCCACTCCTATAATAATGTTAAACCGCTAGCATAGACACACGAAGTGATTATTAAACTATATTATATAATTGAAGATACGTATGTTAACAGAAATATGTCTAAACCGTCATTGTATAAAATTCCTTATATATATTATACATTTTATTTCAACGCCTTGAATATACAGAGGAATGTCAAATTGTATATACCGCATATTTAATTTTTTATTATTTGATGAAAATTGCTAGATAACATGTTATGATATTGTAAAATCATGTATGTACTAATGAATCTACGTGTGATCTATACTTTTAGACATTATTAGTTAGAATCCTTTGGCGCGAATGGCGCGCTTTCATTACAACGTGAAGTATCAGAAAGATTAGTGAGGGGACATAAACGTCGACATTTTAGTAGGGCTAGTGTTGCGCCAGTACACCGGACAGTGTCGATTTTCTTCCTAACAATAGGTACTTACTTAGGCATGTTACAATGTTGAGACAGTTCTCGATGAGCTCGTTAGCAGGCGGTATGTAGTTCGGCTGCTCGTTGATCAGCCTGATGTATGTCGCCACGGTGTTCAGCTCGGGCTGATTGGGGTTGTCATTGACAACCTCACGATTTTTAACCACCATTCCGCTAGCTGTAACAAGAAACACTAGTTAGAATAGACAAATCGATAAAATTTCTATGACTCAACATCATATTTACTCGGTTATTATATGCTCTACAATTTTATTTAACTACGACGTAACTAGTAATTTCCTCTTCGTATAACTATGATTAGTCTATAAATTTTAAAACAGACTATTATTGGCAAAGGTCGACGTAAAACAAATGTCAAATACACATTTTCCAGGTGACATTATTTCGTTCTAGCTATTTTATTAATTTCTTGCAATAATTTCTATGTTACAAATATATTTTTCCCCATAGATAACATATAACTGTTCCCATTATATTGTTTCCCCATAATAACTGTTTATGTTATCCCGACTAAAGCTTAAGACATGTCCTTGTTTGTGTGTTGAAGCGTAAATGATTTCATTTGAGCGATAATTTTCTGCTTTGAATATTCATCAAATGTTTGTCTCGATTATTTACAAGTGAATGACACAAAGCAGACGTCCACATCAACCTGTGCTTGTCCCTACGGAGAGTCAGCACAGAATGTACTCCCACACATCTCCATCAGATCACATCTGAATTCACTTACGAATACCCTCTTTCACACAATCCATCCATACTTTCATATCTTCCTCTAGCTTTGTAACCATCCAATCTTTTTACTTTCTTATTTATGTGACTATCGTCCCTCCACTAAATATATCCATACAGGGCTGACCTTTCGCTTTTCAATTTCTCCACCACTGGCGCTACTTTCAAACGTCTTCCATTGTACACATTTTTATCATAAACCCTTTTTATGACACCACTCATCTATCTTAACATCGCATCTCAGCAAAATGCAAATATTAAATACGAAACAAAAAACAGGAGTTTCTATAGACGGATTTATTAGATCCAAAGGAATGAGAAAATGGCCGTCAGCACTGAATAGCTACGACAATATTAAATGCTGCTTTTCGAGTTTGCAGTTCAGAGCCCGTAGCACAAAATCTATACAAAGCACTTACAAAACTTTGCACGAGACTAACGATCGAGTTATAAACTGCGAACAAAATTTAATTTACATGTTCTTTAACTTTGAAATTAAATGTGCATCTTTTAAACATTTTCTAGATAAAACATCAGAGTAAATTTTGCTGGAGACGATTGGAAAAAATAGAACAGAAAAGAAAACACGGTTTCCTACAAGTCCTTTGAAATTAAAAGAGCTTTTATATTTTTACGTAGACGTTGTGTGTAGAAAATTTCTCGGAAATACTTTCTATCGAGCTTTCAAGGATTTTTCTAAAAGAGATATTTAATACTTGCACAAGTTTATACTTACAGTATATTTATATTTGTAAGTTTGTGTTTCTGCCAGATACTTAGATGTTTCAATATTATAAAACAATATTCTTACTAATATTATAAATAGAGAATTACTCTGTCTGTTGCGCTATCACACCAAAACTACTGAAGCGATTGAAATGAAGTGTGGTACACAGATAGTCTAGGGCTTGAGAAAGAATGTAGAAATCTTTATAATGCGGAAAAAAGGTCGTAAGAGGTTTAAGAAAGGGGGTGAAAAGTTATATGGAATTAGAGTCATCTTATGAGCTAGAAGCTTGAAAATTATTTTTAAGTCTTTGATTCGATATAAACAAATATGACATCAAAGGTTTGCCCTCAAGGGTACAAAAATAATAGGAGATAAATGTTTGTTTGGAATTATGGTGTATGTGAATGTTTTATAAATTGATGAGACAAAATATAAGAGCTATACTGATGTATTATAATATTTACGAAGTCAATACATATTTACTTTTACATAACTATCCAAAAACATTATTTCATGCGGACGAAGTCACGGGCACAGCTAGTACTTGTATAAGCCAATAAAAAATAAAAAAGTATAAATTAAAAGGTCACGTTAAAATAACGCTAATAATTCCAAGAAAGGTCGACCTTATTAACTCCCAGTCTAAGGTACTATTTTTAGCTCTCCAATAAATCAATACGTGATATTTTCCCAGGCGCCTTTCATGTGAAATATAAGTCTCGGAACTTGTACTGCGTAATTATTATTAGTATATCGTAAAAGAGAATATTATCCTATAAACCAACTTAGGCATATCTGATATTAATAATTAAAATATATTTAAAAAACATAAGATTCAGAGAGCGAATTCAATTTATCTATATCATGTTTCTGCAGTTTTTTTTTTAACTTATTGCAGTTTACATCATCTTTTATTGTAATCTTGATGAAGTTAGCAAGTTTGAATTGTAATAAAATATATCAGTAAACAAATAATTGATGCAGAGTTTAATTTGGTCTAAGCGAAAACGTCAAAGGACATGTAGCATACAAAGGAATGGTTTCAGTTGAGGTACAGGTTCTCAGCGTTCAAAGCGAATACTCGCCAGACGTAAAGTCCGTTGAAGCGTAGACAGATAAAGTGGAAAGACAAATTAATCAAATCATTTTACAGTGCACTGGTCCTCTAATATTATATTACGTATATTTGAGTTTGTTACTTGTTTCAAAAAATAATTGCAGTTTTGACAATAAATGAAACTACATTTAAAAAAAAAATTAGGAGATAAGGTAGCATAGGTAGCGGCCACCTTAAATCGCCGAAATAGCGAAGCGATCGTTGTCCATAAACATCCGCAATTGCAGATACTTTGCCTGCTTTAAATCAATGGGGAAGGAGACGCACAGAAAGAGGATATGCCCTCTCTAAGCGTCCCCTCCTCCGCCAAATCCACTCCTCCTCTCTCGTCCTTCCCATCCTTTCTTTATAAGAAATGGTGAGAGGGAAAAGGGTACAAAAATTTTGCGTCAGGCAGCGGAATTTGAAGTGCGAAATAGTAAACCGCCATATTACAACATCCATCCATCCAAACATACACATTTGTAATATTAGTAAGAAGTTAGATAAAAAAATATATATAACGAAAAGCAACTGAGGAAAATTATTAATTAACGTTGCAAGCTGTTTGCCGTAGATCTTGAACTAATAATTCTTCCTGCGAAGGTACGTCAAAGGAACGGAAGTGTGCGTTTGACATGAAAACCGTTCAAAGTGAATTCATAACAATATACTCGAGTGCACTTCACATTTTAAAATATATGCAGCTACCGGAAATATATTGGAAATTTAAAATATATTTTTACCCGTATGAAAGCATTTTGAAATTGTGACTCAATAATAATTTTGAGTATTTATTATGATGTATAAAGCGATTATTACTTTGCAACGTTTCCATTAATATTTACATTGTTTCAATCAGTGACTTGCTTTTAAATCGAAAGCCTGATACAATAATCCGAAATGCAATGGAATTTTCGCGTAGGTACTCTAGTTGTATGCAAAAGCAAGCGGCGCACATCTCAAATAAGCTCTTTGATGTGAAATTACCAACACAAACAACCATATTTGCGAGCTCTGCAAATACTAATGAAAATCTGGGAATTATATGTTTGTAATAATTTTAAAGGTATCTTATATTAAATGTTTACCAGCATTTATACGAATATTACGTGGAAAATTTAATAACTTCATCAATTTAACTTGTCTATTTGATTTAATACATGGTAGGGTTCGCTAATTTTACTGGCAACACTGTGAGCTGTGAAGGCGAAGGCGAGGGATAGAAAATTATCGCGAGGTGGGAGGTATCGAATATCACTACTTTATTTCGCTTTTCCCAAACATTCCGTCCAACATCCTGATACCATGATGAATGTTCAACCGGCCTCCTTCCACCTCTCGAAAATTTTCCATCCCTCTCCCTGACAGCTCAAAGTGTTGCCAGTACAATTAGCGCTCCTAATATTCGACCATCCTGATATTGTGTGCAGTACCCGGTGAAACCCTAACATACATAATTAAAACGCCCTTACAAAACTGCGTTTTTCTTTCTTAAATTTTATTAGATGTTCTTTTCCTGCATTTTAAACAAGAATGACAATAACCAAACTAACCACATGGATGAATGTTATAGGAATGTAGGAAAGTCAATAGGAACAATAGAGAACCTCCCTAACCATTGACCGTGACTTCTAAGGATGTGTTCATATGTTTAACTTAGACATGATCAAAATATACTTCTAGGTATGTTAGGCATTGTTATAGATATATGAATACATAAGTGACAATGATTTGATGGTTCCATGTACTAACCAATGTAGCAAAACCTCACTTAATGCATATCACACAGATGTGAATGCAGTTTTATTTCTTTGTATAATAAAATAGATTAAATAGAGGTGCAAAATACTCATACATAAGAATTATGTTATCTCCATGTAATCAAAGAGATTACAGATGGATTACAATAATGTTTTGTACTAATGTTACATAAGTAACCCATATTTACATCCTAACAAAAAATATAAATTAATAAAATATACATTTTAGCAAATTTCTATCTTTAATTTTTAATGTTTTGATTTGGACTTTATCTTACTACTACTACTCCAAAAATCTTTTTATTTGATACCCATTTTAGGATGGGGTTGTATGGCGGCCATTTTGAATTTTTCACAGTGAACTGTACTTTGCTCTTCAAACCTATCATTTGATACCTACGTCGAAGGGGTTGTACAAAAATATGTCAATATGCCCCTCTATTATTTCTAATGACAGCTATCTTCATTCTTTCACAATGCTTCATATTCCACACCAAAGGCCCTTTCATTTGGTGCCAAATATTAAGGGATTTGCAAAAATAAGCCATTTTGTGTCAAGGTAATAATAGCAATTGCATAAACAAAAGTATTTTACAACAATTACGTTTTTGAATATTAATAAGCAAATTTCTAGTTGAATGATAAATGAATCTTTAAGAAAGAAACAGTTTAAGTTTTAACTCAATAACTGCATACCTGATATAATAAAGCCAAGTGAATTTTCTCTCTATAAAGTAAAGGAAATCATAGTTTAAAATGCGGCATCTCTTTCGATTATTAACGTTATGCCGAGAAAATATTGAACATTTTACTCAATACTGAGAATTGATGTGATT